CCTTTTGCTTTAATGGGCTGATACTAGATTGTAGTCCAGACATGAAAAGGCAAGATAGAATGATAACAGAATTTACAACAATCTATTGGTTGCTTCCTCAGATACAAAACCATGAAATGGTAAACAGTTGACGAATTTATACGAGCACAAAGCTTTTCTTTGTCCCCCTTTCTACCAGCTATTCAAATAGAATAAGATATTACTTCCTCTGTGATGCTACCATTACTAAAATAAAGTAAAATGTTTTATGTTTTGCACATTTTTTTTCATTACTCAAAAATGTAAATTTGCTTTGGGCTGCATCCCCTTGGTGCCTGTATATATAGTTATACTTTTCATTTCAAAAACAAAATTCATTACTTGAAAAACCCTCTCTCTCCTCCTCTCTAAAGCTTCAGGTAATTGGAGGTGCCATAATCTGATAAATGTCTCAGCAGGATTTGGATGGAAGCATCTTCATCTAGGTACATGGAAATTATGAATAAAAGGACTAAGCTAAGTAACTTTCAAAAAATTGTTAGATATAAAATACTGACTCTGAGCAAAATACCATGCAAACATCTTAGCTATTGTAAAGTTAGAATATTCTTACTTTACATGTATTTGTTAAAGATGGAAGTAAATCAAGGTATCAAAAAGAAGGTAAATCAAAACATTAAAGAGAAAATAAATTATAGTATTAAAGAGGAAATAAATCAGAGTATTAAAGAGAAAGAAAATCAGGGTATAAAGGTAAATTACACATCTGTAATTAATTGTCAATTTCTTTTTTTGTCCTAGAAAACCTGTATTTATATGGTTATAATAGTCAACAAGTACATCAATAAAAAAAAAAATCATTCTTAACAATTAAAGTAGATTATACCTGTAAGTTGAACGTGATGTATGATTCCTGATGCATATTTTTTAAGGCCTTCATAAGGGTATTGTTGTTTGTAAACAAGAGAATAACCTATTTCTTCATAAGTTATTCCTGTTCTAAAAAATCCATATTGGACAATACTTTGTACAGATTCAGGATCTAATGGTAGTATGTAATCACCAATCTCAAATTCCCCTGTAAATTCAAACAACAATATTGAAATATTGATTGAATTAAAAAAAGAAAAACAAAAGAAACAAATTTCAAAAATTACATCCTAAGATTGTAAAAAAACAATTCTAAAAAACCAGAGAATAATTTATTTATTAGTATCTCTTCAACATAAATGAACTCTAAGATATTCTCATTTCTATGATCCCTTCAAGAGTTTCCACTTAACACCATTCCCTTCACACTTCAATCAGTTACCGAATTTATAATGTTAAACAACATTAATTTTAAGCCATAACAAAGAAAAGACATACATGGTTCCATCAATGCTAACTACACAATGCAACAATTTCATGTCTGTGAACTGAAAATACTCAAATTAAGTTAGATAAATGTGAAGGGATGAGGAGTATGCTCATTTCTTCATTGAACAATTACAAGCATAGATGCCTTTTTGACAATTTGATGACTCCATCATCAGCCTTAACGCATCCAGAAACAACATGGTAAACCATAATTTCCCTTTCTCCACTCTACAGAACAATTCTTTTTCTGGAAAACACAGCGAAGACACCTAGTTGCTTTCTACATACCGAGAATGAAACTAAATGCTAAACTTATAAGCAAAGGAATAAGGAAACATGCGGGTGATAGAAGCAAATAGACCTGTTATCCAAGAAATCCAAACAGAGTCATAGTCGGAGAAGAGCGATACTGAAATCTGCTCAGGCCGGAAAGGCAAATCGGGTCTTCGGAATCGAGGGTCGGTGTGGGGCAAGTCAATGCCCTTTCTATGAAGGCTATTGTCAAAAGGAGCTGTCACCGGCTTGAAGGGTCCTTCAAGTGTTGTGGGTATGACACCATGAACAAAAGCTACACAACTCAGAAGGAGCAAACAAGAAAATGCGTTCGTAGTAATTGAAAAAAGCAAACCCATTTGTGGGTTTGGCTTCGCCTGCTCATATAGAGATAAAGGAGAAGACTTTATGGAGCTAAGGCTACGAGCAGTCATGTAAGGTACTGCACTCTAGAGAGTAGGGGTCGAAAGAAGCATTTTCTTTCTGGAAACTGAAAAATAGGAAAGGAGAAAACTACAGTAATTCTTTTTAAAGCAAAAAAGTAGTGCGGTTGGATAATTTTCTCCTCATATTTTGAAGTTACCACTGTAATTTTTATCAAGATTCATGTTGAAATATTTCAAAGCACGAAATGTTTGGGTTGGCCTTGAGAATTTTCGTGAGGAAGACAGAGCCCTGACTAGGGAAGTAGAATAATTTTTTTTTTTCAACAAATGCATGCAATTTGTTAAATGAGTATTTAAAAAAATCAAACTTGTTTTCAAGAGTTCAAATATATTATTTGTCTTGGTATAATTTTATATTATTTAAAATGATTTCTGTAGTTTTTTTTTTTTTTTTTTTTTTTCCCTTGAAGACATCTTAAACAAAATTCAGTACCGTTAGTCTCATATATCCGTTGATTTGACCATGTAATCTAATTAATATTAATTAATAAATAAAAATGTTCTTTTACATTAAAAATTATGTAAGACTTTAATTAAGAAGAGTTAATTAATTAACACAAAAACTCTACTTCTTCTTGCTTCTCTTTACCCTTTTTTCTTTTTGAGGACGATGTTGGATCTTAATCTCTGATTCAGGTGCTCACGGAGAAACTTCATAACTCTCTCATTCTCTTAGAAAAAAAACAAAGAGCAAATAACCAAAGAATACATAGCTTTAAAACACATGAGACAGCTATATATATATATATTTAATATAAATCAAAATAAACTAGTAGCTTTTTAAATTATTTGACAATACAGATTTGTCCCAAGTACAGAGAAATCTCTAGGATCATGGAGAAACCTTCAAATAAGTACTGAGAAATGACAAAACCAAACTAGGTAACTGGTGTTGATAAATTGAAGTTACCTATATTTTGGTTTCCTCTTGTTCAATGCTTTATAACTTACATTTGCTCAAACAGGACACCTAACAGGGTCTCTGACAATATATATAGTATCACCGGTACTGTTGTAAGAATCTTGGTTACGATGCCAACTCCATAAAGCATGAGTTTCATTTTTCACCTGCAAATCTCATTTAAGCGTTTAATTAAACAATCAAAATATTACCACAATAGTAATGAATCAAATAAGATATATGTGTGTTTGCGGGTATACCTCTAGAATCCCATGGCCGAAACTACTTTCTCTATAAGCACTGTAATCAGGTTGACGATTCCAGCAAAACTGACCCTTTGATGGGCCTGATGTAAAGTTGAAAGCACAAGATCCGCCCATGATTTTATCTGGTGTAGTAGAGGGTTCTGGACATTTACCAGGATCATCAGCATGATCAATTGCCATCTTCTCTCTGTTTCCACCATCCCCAACTGTGATATACACAGGCCCACATGGATCTAGATTATAGTTGTATACTCGATTTGATCTCTCGTATGCATGAACGTGTCCGTTGAAAACAATATCAACTCGATTTTTGTAGAGTAAATCTTCCATGGCTACTCTCATGCATTCTGCTTCTCTGTAATGAGCCTTGTAGGTGCTGTACCAAGGAGAGTGCCATGCAGCCACCAACCATGGAGTCACTTTTCTATCAATTTTAGCCAAGTCTCTCTCCAACCACCTGTATTGATCACCTGCAAAACATAGATCAGAGAATCAGTCAATCAAATTAGGAAAAAAAAACAACTACATGATTGTCTTCAATTAGCAGGTAAAATGTCTGAGAGTCTGAAACAATCAGTAATTGTAAATTACCTGATTTGTTATAAGAAATGTAGGCACCAAGCATAAGGAAATGAATCCCACCCGCATTGAAAGAATAGTAGAATGTGGATAAAGATCCACTTTCCTTCAATGGGAAAGCAAACCGAGAACTGTAAGCGACAAATGTATGATTCTCAGCTTGTTGTTCGAGTTCGTGGTTCCCTTCTATCACCATTATAGGAACACTTGATAATAGAGGCTGCATGAATCTGACACACAAACAATTACATCCTTTAATGATTTACATGAGCCTTTATTGTGTTTTGTAAGTAGGTAAATTGATTGAACAGTTAATGAGTTAAGAATACCTATTTTCACCAGAGTTATTAAGATTATATTCACTATTTAAAATTCTTAAAATTACAACGATCTCTTTGAATTCTAGATTTGTAAGGCGAGTAATGCAAGCCCACAGCCATGTGAGAAGACCCCGATTTTACTAATGTGAATCAAGACACATCTTAGCATATTAAAAAAACATATAAAAAGGAAAATAAAATTCGACGTCTAACCTTCCCCAATAATCCCAACGCGGCTGATATGTTTCGTGAATGGGAGTGTCAAAAAAGGAGCAAGAATAACAGTCGGCTCCAGTGCCATTGGTGAGGTACATATTAGCATAGCTAACATCTCCGACCAACAAAATAAGGTTAGGATTGTTGGCAGTCAGATGGCTAATAGTGGAAGTTGTATTATAGGTAAGACCTAAGTCTCCAACCACACCTATTCTGGATGGATAACTCTTGGGACCAGAAACCGGCATTGTTCTAAAGTAATGAACATTGCTCATTGCTTGAATTGAAGGATCTCCACATTTATAGTAGTAGAGAGTGTTAGCTCTCAGTCCTGCAATTTTGACATAAATAGGTATGAAATTCCACATAAATTAATAGAATTTGTAATGTATTATTCCGAACTTCACTCAAAAAATTGATTTTTTTGGCTAGATTTCTGAGTAAATTCCATAAAAGTTATTCATTGCACAAAAAAGATAGTTCTAATATCTTAGTTCGAGTTATGTTTATAACTAAAAAAACCATGTCTACGTACTAAAAGAACCCTACTCGAAGAGTGTACAGAGATTTATACAACATATAAACACAATAGGGTTCTTCACACTTATGATGATCTAATTGTCCAAGATTTTATTTACCAAAAAGATTATGGTGCACATGTACTAGTTCTCTTTATACATCATCAACTTTTGTCTTCTTAGTAAGTGGCTAAAATGATTGGATCCAACAGAGAAGACTATTATGAGTGAAGGCAAAACTGAAGTGAACAAAGTTCTTGCAGATTCAATTTCAATTTGTGACAATATATGTAACATATTTACGTTATGTATATGTTCATTGTAAAGAATAACATTTATCAGAGGAAAAAAAGTAATTTAGTTAATTAATTATTAGCTTTAACCCTGGAAAGTGAATGAACCCTGCAAAATTACAAGAACAAGCCCATGGCCAAATAAGAAGACAAACCTGCAGCCACACCAAGCAGCGGGTGCAGCAAATAGAGACAAATACTTGTTTGAGCCAACCTAGGCAGAGACAGTGGAATACAAGTGCATGCATTATCCTACCTTTAAAATATACCCATTTTACCATTAGCAAAGAAATTCGGAATGAAATTAATTTTTTTAAGAACAAAGTGGCAGCCAATATATTAATTAATTAGTAAATTATTATTTGTAGTGCACAATAAATTGAAATCAAATGTTAATTAATTACATTTGGGTGAGAAAAATATGAAAAATAAGAGATTAACAAATAACCATATATGAGAAAAAGTACTTGATAAGAATAAAGCTCTATTCGGTAAAACGAAAATATTTTTAAAATTTTGTTTTTTAATTTATACATGTATCAAACAGAGTCTAAAGTTACCTGTAATGCGAACATGGTGTATTATTCCTGAAGTGTAGTTCTGTAGGCCTTGAAATGGATAAAGCTGATTATAAACAAGAGAGTAACCAGTTGCTTTACAAGGCTTCTTTAGGGACCCAAAAATTCCATACATAACAATGCTTGCAACACTTTTTGGATCTAGTGGTTTTATCTTCTCACCAATTTGATACTCTCCTGCAACACCACTTTGCTTAATTAGCATATATTTAGAACTTACAACAAAATCAATCAGTGATTAATTATTATGTCATAACATTATATCTTTAAAATATTTAACAGGTAAACATCAATTAATTATATCCTAAAAGCAGATATGCTGATACATATTTTAATAACATATTATAATATCGTTGGATATGAAATTTTATGATTAATTAATTAAAAATGCAAACATAAGGTAAACGCATCTTTACAAACTAGAACAATTAAGCTGATCATCAAAAGTATAACTCACATGGCTTTCAAACTTATTTCTGAAATTTATGCGAGTGTGAAAATATATGTAACTTGTCTGAATAAATAGTAGAGAGAAGGTTGTAAAAAGATGAGACCTGTGATCCAAGAAATCCATACAGAGGAATAGGTAGCCGAGAGAGAGATTGAGATCTGTTCAGGCTGAAAACCTGTAACAGTCCTCTGCACCCTTGGATCCGAGGGAGGCAAATCTTTGGCCTTTCCTCGGAAGTTACCATCATTAAGAGCAACTGTAACCGGCTCAAAAGGGCCTTCAAGAGTGGTTGAAACCCAAGAATTAGGCAAGCCTGAGCCTGAGACAAAGCTGCTTATTGTTGCTGTTATCATTAACATTGCTACAAAAGCTATGTACTCCATTAATCCCATTTGCATACAAGAAAACAATGCTCAAATATATTTTAAGTATGAGAAGAAGGAAGGTAGTTATAAAGGAAGATAATGAAAAGTGAAGAGGGCTACTAGTACTGGAGGAATATGATGAAAATGATGATGATGAGGACCATTTTATGCGTAACTTACTTCATGCTTTCCCTGTAAAAGAACTTAAAATATGGATTGCTTAAAAAGACATCACCTAAAAGGCTAAGCTTTCAGGAAAGTGTGGCTTCCATTTTTAGTTTCTTTTTTTTTTGTCTTTTATTAGTTAGCACTTAGTTTAGACTATCCCATCAATTTTCCAAAATAAACATTGTCAAAAACCAACTAAATTCAAAAGATAAAATTACTTTTACTCTATATATGTTTAAGACAATGAACTTTATATGTTTCATGTGAATTATTGTAATTGTTGGGAACCAGCATATTTAATTCAAGAACATCTGTTATCTGATTTTTTAGGCATACACAACCATATTTTCTAATTATGAGGATATGATTTTCTTCCTATGTTTCACATGATTATCGTAATTGTTAGAGAACCAGCACATTTAATTTCATAACATCTGTTCTCTGATCTTTAGGCATACATGACCATATTTTCTAATCACTAGGATATGATTTTCTTCCTAAAAATAAAGGTGTATATTTATAAATTTATAGCTGTAGATTTATTTCCTTTTAAAAATTATATTATGTTATAAAAGGAAGAGTACTTCTACCTTTTTAATTAATGAAGCTATGATCTTTCTATCACATATTTCACATGTTATCAGAACCAGTATAATTGACATTTTTTCTTCTCTTTTTCTACGTTCTTCCTCCTCTATATTTCTTTTCTTTCTGCGCTCCTTGCTGTTTTCATCTTCTACCCGTCACTGTCAGAAATCTCAGAATCAACTCCTACAAATGCTGTTAAAACCAACCCCTTTAAAACTATCAACCAAATCATGCTCCCACTCTGTCCAAATCTGTAACATCTGCCTCAATGGGAACAATTTTCTCAGTTGGTCACAATCTGTTAGAATGTATATTAGAGGGAGAGGAAAAATTGGATATTTAACTAGTGATTGCATGACAAAGCTACTGATTTGAAACCTGTTGAATGGAAGAACAATAGGGCAAATGATATAACCATACCTCTAGCAAATCACACACTGCCGAGTCCACTTCTTTGAGCAAAGAACAGATTGAACATTTGCTGCAGCTGCTGAAACCCGCTCCAGTAACTCCTGATAACCCTATAATGTTAGTTGTTTATGTTCAGAATAGTTTGATGTGTGTTCTGTTGTGTATTACTGCTTTATATATATAAGTTTTCTAGGATGGAGAAAAAAAAACAATTAATCATAATTAATTATATAGAATATAATTGTTACACATGTATGGGATACATATTAGACCACTGTTTTAGTATTCATTTTTCTTTCTCATTATCTCCTGCTACCATAATTTCATCAACTTGTACTACCAGATTTATAACTCCCCCTTATCTATGAGTGGTTGATGAATAGAATATGGTCTTCTTGAGCCTGCTTAAATCTCAGGTTTATTATCACCCTTGAGAGCCCAGACCACGCTTTTGGCAATTGCTTGAGGCTATACAGTGCATTCTTTACTTTACATACCTTACTCAGTCCTAATTCTCTATCAAAGTCTGGTGGAGATCCATGTAGATTTGTTCTTCTGAATCTCTATACAGGAAGACATTTTTTATATAAAATTCTTTTAGTTGCTAATCAAAATGAGGAGCTAATAACAACAAAATTCGCATAGTGTTCATCTTGGCTACTGGTGCAAATGTCTCATAATAATCTATCTCATATGTTTGTGCATACCCCTTTTTCTTAAAAATAAAAATAAAGTATTATTTTGCACAAGGTACTAAGGGAGTACTGTCCATATACAAAATAATTACAAATCTATTAATTGGTCGATGACCGCACCCATATCATTTAGGTCTTTAATATCATGACCCAACAAGATAGATTCAAAAGTGTGTATCCATTTATTCCTAATGTTACCAAAGTTAGTTTCAACTCCCTCAAAAGCTTTAGCATTTCTTTCTTTCAAAATCACGCAAACAATAGTAAGTGGTACAAGAAATAAATGTCTCCCCTTTTCTTTACACAAACCCTCCCAAATCCACAGTTCCTTACTTACACTACCCGCCATAACCCAATCCACCCCAATAAGCCTCAAAACAGAAGAACATATGCTGTAAGTAACAGCGCAACCCAATAACAAGTGGTAACAGACCTCCTCACCGGATTTGCATAAGAAGCACCTATCACCTATTAATCAGCATATTCCCTCTTCTTCTAAGCATGTCAATTGTTAAAATCTTCTCTTTAGCTGCTTCCCAAGCAAAAAATCCAATTCTGGGTGGTGCTTTAGATTTCCATATTCATATGAAGGGGGCTGTATGGATGTTGTTGTTCTCTCTCTTAGTAATAAATTCATAATATGATTTAACAAAGAAGCCCCTCTTTTTGTCTAACTTTCATATTCTT